GAAGAAGAAGCAGTCTGACTTCTCAGAGCTGATCAATACTGATCAATGATGTCATCTGAGCTCAACATGATCGGTATCTTCTGTCATCCTCGTCTCCTCTCCTCCTCCTCTCCTCCTCCTCTCCTCTTCTCTTCCTCCTCCTCCTCCTCTCCTCATCTCCTCCTCTCCTCTTCTCCTCCTCTCCTCCTCTCCTCTTCTCCTCATCTCCTCTCCTCCTCCTCTCCTCTTCTCCTCTTCTCCTCATCTCCTCCTCTCCTCATCTCCTCCTCTCCTCCCCTCCCTCGATCAGTTACAATAACAGGATGATGATGATGACTCATAAAAACACAGAGCGTATTGATCACTGTGTTTATTGGCTCATTATCAAAGAGGTCAGAGGCATCAGTCCAGTACAAAATAAAAGCAAGTTTATAAAGTTTATAAAATGTCACATTAATAGAAACATGAATCCTTGTTTGGTACGAACAGAGAGTCTGGTGGCAAAGGAAGGAAGGAGGTAGGGAAGGACAAAGGAAGTAAAAAAGGAAATATGGGACTCCTGAATCATTTACTCCCTCTGAATGTTAAGGGGGGGGGGGGGGGCCCCCACAGCGGGGGGGGGGGGGGGGTCAAGGCTGCCCCCCCTCCTCCCCCCTCCATTCTTCTCCCTGTATAAACACAGAGGCATTGTGGGGCAGGTGGTTTGACAGTTTAGAGCAGAGAGGAATCGCCCAGCTGCTCCTGGTCCGGTTCATTCATTAGGTCAGACCCTCATCAACCCCTCAACACCCCCACAGACCCCCACAGACCCCCACAGATCCACACCCCCCCCCCCCGACCAACCACCACCAACCGTCTGAGCGGCGGCCGGCGGTCAGATTTAGCTTCTGAACGCCGTCACAGATGGATCCGGTTACCCCAACAGAAACTGAACCAGACCAGTCGAGCTCCTCAGGTCTCATATTGTTGCTTATTGATTTGTAGGTGTTTTATTTGTGATGACACATTGTCATTGGATAGCTTTAACGTCCCATGATGCTCCACAATCTGCCTTTCACACGTTGTCATGCTAAAACTGTTCTCAGGAAGAAACAGATGGAGGAGGAGAAGTTATAATTGGCTGTGGATCAACGGGGGCGCCGGGGGGGGCGGGGGGCGGCGGGGGGCCTCTGCAGCGGTGGTGGGGGGGGGGTCAAGGCTGCCCCCCCTCCTCCCCCCTCCATTCTTCT